TTGATTACTGCTTTATTCTTCTTACTAGTAATCAGTCTGTTCAAATTTTCTCTTTTGTCATGATTCAGTCCTGGTAGGTTGTATATTCCTAGGAGTTTAACCACTTCTTCTAGTTTTGCCCAATTTGTTGGCATATAATTGTTCATAGGAGTCTCATGATCCTTTGTATTTCTGTGGCATCAGTTGTAATGTCTTTTCTCTCATTCTGATTTTGAGTTCTTTCTTTTTCTTGGTCAGTCTAGCTAAAAGTTTGTTAATTTTTCTCTCTTCAAAGTACCAGCCCTTTTTATCATTGATCTTTTTCTATTTTCTTTTTCTTTTTTTTTTCATTTATTTGCACTCTGATCTTCGTTATTTTCTTTCTTCTACTAACTTTGGGCTTTATTTGTTCTCTTTTTAGTTCTTTGAGATGTAATGTTAGGCTGTATCTTTAAGATATTTGTCTCTTGATGTAGACATTTGTTGGTATGAACTTCCTCTTAGAACTTCTCTTGTTACATCACATATATTTTGGTATGCTTTATTTCCATTTTCATTTGTTTTAAGGTTTTTTTATTTTTTATTTTTTTGATTTCTTCTTTGACCCATGGGTTATTCAGTGGTATGTTGTTTAATCTCCACATATTTGTAAATTTTCTACTTTCCTTCTTATAACTGATTTCTGGTTTTATACCATTGTGGTCAGAGAAGATATTGATATGATTTCAATCTTTTAAATTTATTAAGACTTGTTTTGTGGCTTAACATATGATCTATCCTAGAGAATGTTCCATGTGCACTTGAGAAGGATGTGTATTGTGTTTCTTCTGGATGGAATGTTCTGTATATATCAGCTAAGTCCATCTGTTCTAACATGTTGTTTAAGGCCAATGTTTCCTTATTGATTTTCTGTTGGGATGATCTATTCATTGATGCAAATGGAGTTTTAAAGTCCCCTACTTTATTATATTGGTGTCTCTTTCCCTCTTTAAGTCTGTTAAAGTTTGCTTTATATTTTTAGATGTTCTTATATTGGGTGCATAAATACTTACAAATATTATATCCTTTTGTTGGATTGACCCCTTTATCATATAATGTCCTTTGTCATTTATTACAGTCTTCATCTTAAAGTCTATTTTGTTTATTATAAGTATAGCTACTTCAGCTTTCTTTTGGTTTCCATTTGCATGAAATATCCTTTTAAATCCCTTCATTTTTAGTCTATGTGTGTCCTTATGCTTGAAGTGAATTTTTCATAGGCAGCCTGCATCTGGGTCTTGTTTTCCTTTATTAAATCCACTCATTCACTACGTCTTATGATAATAAAATTTATTCCATTTACATTTGAAGTACTTACTGATAGGTATGTACTTTTGCCATTTTCTTCCTTGTTTTCTGGCTATTTTGTAGTTCTTCTCTATATCTTTCTTCTTCTCTTGCCTTCTTCCATTGTGAATTGATAACTTTCAGAACGGTATGTTTAGATTTCTAGGGCACGTACTGAATGGAGTACTGGGTATTATACGCAAACAATGAATCATGGAACACTACATCAAAAACTAATGATGTAATGTATGGTGATTAACATAAGATGATAAAATAAAAAAGATTTCTTACTCTTTATTTTTTTTTGTATCTACTAGAGGTTTTTGTGGTTATCCTGATGCTTACATAGAAAAACTTATATTTATAACAGTTTAAGTTGATAAGAACTTAAGTTTGAATGCATTTTTAAAGCTCCACATTTTTGTTTTTTGCCATCACATTTTAAATTTTTTGAATCTTGTGTGCCCCTTATTAGTTATTATAGTTATTTTTACTGCTATCTTTATACTAGCTTTAGTAGTGATTATTCCATTACCTTTACTATATATTTATGTATATCTATATGATTTATACTTTATATATTTTCTTTTCATTTTAAAGAACTCCCTCTCGAATTTTTCATAAGGCCAGTTTAGTGGTGATGAACTCCTTTAGCTTTTTTATTTGTCTGGAAAATTCTGTATCTTCTCTGAATGATTTTGCTTTTGGGTAGAGTGTTCTTGGCTGGGATTTTTTTTTTTTCTTTGAACATTTCCAATATATTGGCCTGTAAAGTTTCTGCTGAAAATTCTGATAACCCCTTGTGTGTAACAAGTAGTTTTTTTCTTTCTGCTTTTAAGGTTCTCTCCTTGTCTTAAACTTTTTAATGTTTAACTGTAATGTGTCTCAGTGAGGCTTTCCTTGGGTTCATCTTATTTGGAATTTTATGGGCTTCCTGGATCAGGATGTCTATTTTCTTCTGTAGGTTAGGGAAGTTTTAAACCTTTATTTCTTTAAAGAAGTTTTCAGTCCCTTTCTCTCTCTCCTTTCCTCTGAGCCCCCCTTAATGCAAATGTTAGCCTACTGGATGTTGTCCCTTAAGTCCTTTAAGCTATCGTCACATTTTTTCATTTTTTTTTTTCTTTTTGCTGTTCTGATTGGGTGAGTTCCTCTGCCATGTCTTGGAATTCATTGATCCTTTCTTCTGTTTCATCATGTTGTCTAGTCTTCTGCTGAACCCCTCTCATGTACTTTTGGTGAAGTTATTGATTCTTCAGCTCTGTAACATCTGTTTGATACTTATATCTTCTGTTTGTTGAAGTTCACGGTGTTCATCCATTCTTCTTCTGGGTCTTTTGAGTATGTTGATGACAATTTCTTTGAACTGTATTAGGTAAGTTATCTACATTTTATTCAGGTTTTTTTTTTTTTTCCTGAAGTTTTACTATTTTTTTTAATTTGGAATATATTCTTTTGTTTCTTCATTTTATTTGACTCTGTGGTAGTTTCTATGTATTAGATGAAATAGTCTTGAAAGAGTTTCCTCCTCTTTGAGGGGGTCTGAGAGACCCTCAGGCAGCAGCTTTTAAAGTATGAAAATATATACAGTCTTGTGGAACTGCAAATGTATGCCCTGCTGGCCACTAAGGCCAGGTACTCTGTGTCCCCTGGGCAGCAGTCACCAAATCTCCAGATGAATTTTAACATAGTTCTAGTGGCCTGCTAAGATACTCTCTAGGAACAGAAACTGGCAGATGCCATCTTTGTGCTCTCTGCCTTGCTCCAGCCAATAGGCACCAATTTCAAGCTCCTTGCCATGCTCCTGAGTGCCAGAAGCTCCCAGAGGGGAGCTTTTACACACATCTGGTGCCCTGATTTCTGCAGCTGCTGCCCAGGAAACACCCTTTGATTACCTGGCTCTGGTGTCCAGGGGAGCTTATGTTCCTGGATCCCATAGGGCCAAAACAATCGGGAGATGGTCCTTGACAGATTACCACTCCCAGAGCATTGCACAGACAACAGACTGAAACAAAATCCAATTCATCTAAGAGGCCAATTTGCTTGTCCAGGAGCTTTGGCCTGAGGGACAGGCTTTAGGTTTGGCACACATCCAAGAGCCTATGGAGGTGTTCTCAAGGAACGTACTAATGGAGGTCATCTTTAAGCTCTCCCTCTGCCTCTACTTCAGTTATAGATATAAATGTTGTGTGGGTCCGACACTGATAATGGGTTAAAAGATTGACAGATTATTGCAAATGCACAAATCCAACACCAGTATCTAGTACTTTCACAGTGAATTTTCAGGGATAACCAATTTGTAGCCTCATTTTTTTCCCTGAAATGATAGCCCCTTTACTTCTGTTCCTGCGAATCAAAAGCTATACAGATTTTTTTTCTTTATGCACTTGTCAGCAACAATAAGCATTAACCCATTGAGATGTTGTAGATTCTCTAACTTATGTTAACCCCTTCACAGATGCTATACATTTTCAAACTTAAGGTGTGAACAACAACTACAGTTTGTGTGGTAGTTAAGACAGTTTGGAATGAAAATGTGCCTCTCTACCAAATGGTGTAGTTTTTCTGTGGAATAAAGCATACAAATTTACCAATGCACAGTTATAGGTATTCAAACATTTTCCCTTCTTGAACACATACAAGTCACACATTTAGTACATTCCCAAAAATGCCCCACTCCCATCTTAGCACACATGAGCATGCACACACACATCCAAACTCATTTTTCTTATTAAAAAATCTATTTAAAGAAAGTATTGTCTTTGCTACAGGGTATTTTTAATATAACTTACTTACCTTTGCATATGTCTTGTCTTTCCTCTTGTACATATTTTATCAAATTTAAAGAAAATGTTGAGTAATGTGATAGATGAGAATATGCATGCATTTAGTTAAACAATACTAAAGACACATAAGTGGAAATCTTTTTCCTGATACCTAAATGTTGTGAGATGATTTTCTGTATGAAGATTTTAAAGTGTAAAATCTTGTGTGAGGTGGATATATATGTTTTTCATCCAATTCTTCAGTCCCACTTAGCTCAAGAATTAAATTTTCTTCATATATCTCTTAGATCACCATGTCAACTTTTAAGTATCAGATGTCTAGAATCTCAATATCTTATAGGGATACCTCCCACCCCCCCCACCGCCCCTCAACTAAATGTAAAGAAATCAGTACACTTTTGAGATTTTTCTCAAGATCCCTCTGAACTGGTGGTGTCTTTAGGGTTTTCAATATTTGCCCTGGAAGGTAATGTGAGGAAAACAAGTTATTTTTAATTAATTTTAGTATCCAAACCAGTTACTACTACTTTGTCCTATAAGCCACCCTGTATAAAACACAAGACAGAATGTGGCCCATTTTCCCTTTCTGTGAGAAGCTTCTTAGTAGGACTAGTGCTCTCTGCAATAAGTGAACCCTTGCTAAAGAAAGAAGGATCACTAACAGTATGTCTCCTAATAAAAAGGAAAAATCCTTAAGCTCTAGACTGAAGTTCTGCTACTGTAAAGGATGAAACTAAGTATCTTTTTTGCTTTTCCCCATATGGGCTTAAAAACTTAGCCTAGGAGAAAGTGGTCATGATTGAATTCAGAAAGCATATGCCGGAAGAACATAGAGATTCAGATAGAATACTTCTTACAGAAAACTAGGGCAAATGTTTTGTGACATGGCAAGAACCACGCAAAGCACAGGAATTTGAAGAACATATTTTAATGGTTGAGACCATTCTGAGGTGACTGTGAAAGCAAGAGCTATTACAAATAACCGTTAACACATATTCTATTCTTGATAATCTTTCATACAATAATTCCTTTATTATCATTTACATCTTTTAATACCTAGCACAGCATTCTGAAGGTGCCAAGCCTAAGTTCTATGTAACTGAGTAGAAAGGTCACAATCTATTCATATTGCCAGAAGAGCTGCAGAACGTGGAAGATGATAAGGTCCTTAAACACAAAGAGCCAAAATGTGCTAAAAAGGACGTCCATTTGCATAATCAGTGACAAAATATATCGTTATACAGTAAGGAAATGGTTACAACGCCTGCTGTTGCTGTGCAAAGGATTCCACAGAAAGAGAACCTTGAGTAGTATATAATTTTACTTTCCATTCTTAAATGTCTTTCAAAAGAGTCGGTGCTCATGAACTGTGATGTACTGACAGCCCTGGGGTCGGTCTATTGCAACTGAACAGGGACACTGATGTTTTTCCCTCGACAGAGAAGACAGGAGTTCAGGGTTCAAGTTTTGTTGAGAATGTCCACTCTGCTGAATTTGCCACCAGGGAACCGGTTAGTGAATCAGTACCCAATAAGAACAGTTGGTTCATGTCTGAGCCAGGCCTACAGAAACTGAAATCAATTCGATTGTGCACATGATGAATTTTAAAAGATTCCAGTTTTGTATTCCAAGTGTGGATTTTACCAACATCTTAAAATCCTTTAGAAATGTGCTGCTGCTTAGTGCAAAAAAAAAAAAAAAGAAAGAAAGAAAGAAAGAAAGAAAAACGTCACCATTTCTTTGACCAGAAGATTAGGTGTGTTTTGTAAAAAGCATATTAAATCTTCATTTTGTAGGCCAATAGTAACAAAGGTCCTGACGTAGCTGGTACAGAAAGGTAAAAACTCATTCACGGCCTGAAAAATAGAAAAATGTTACTACTTACCAGAAAGCAGTGGAAAAATAATACAGGTAATACTTATGGTCTATATAGGCAAGATATCATACTTTCTATTATTTAGCCTAATTTTTCAAATGACAAAAGTTCTCAGATGGACGTTATGGATAAGGCTATACGTATTCCCGATCATGGAAGGCTACTTTCTGACTCTCAAGAATTAGCCAGATAAAGAGTGGTAGCTAATTAAACCACTTGTTGCTGTCCCTTCAGGCCATCTTTCATTTAGAGGTGTATACACTATTTCTTTTGAAAGAACTATTGGCTTAATCTGTGATCCATTGAGTAAAACCACAGGTTAGCTCCACCATCTTTATTCCCTCTTATACATCTATCTTTTTTTTTTTTTAAAGATTTTATTTATTTATTTGAGACAGAGAGAATGAAAGAGAGAGAGCACATGAGAGGGGGAGGATCAGAGGGAGAAGCAGACTCCCTGCCGAGCAGGGAGCCCGATGCGGGACTCGATCCAGGGACTCCAGGATCATGACCTGAGCCGAAGGCAGTCGCTTAACCAACTGAGCCACCCAGGCGCCCTACATCTATCTTATTTTTTCAACTGTTTTCAAATCTACCCAAAGACATAATTTTTATAATATTCAAAACTGATGCTTAAGGAAATTTCCATCTTCCGTGATTTTTCTAGAACTAGTAATCTGCAAAGAAAAATTTTCTTCTCTTACAAAGAAATAGTTTTAAAAAAGCAGTAACAGCAGTCATGTTCAAGCAAAACTAACATACTTGCTGACAAAGACACTCTGGAAAGCTTTCACTTTTAGTCATGTATGGACTGAAGAAATTTGACATTCAGGGCTTATTAAGCGTTGATGAAATTTATCATGTAATTGTACTAGAGAATACAGGAACAAAATTATACTTTTTGAAAAGTATGCTTTCCCACTAGAACAAGTTTTTTTGTGGTAATTTAGCTTTTAGTGGATAATCTTTTATTTAAATTGTCATATGAATATCTTTGTCTAATCACAACTTATTTTTTACTGTGCTGATAGGTTTTAAAGTGATGCAATATGTCCTTTATTTTAATGTGAATGTGTTAGGTTATCATTTTGAATATTCTGTCCAAATAGATTGTAGGCAGAGTCGTCTGGTCTACTTCCTAGTGAGTAAATAGTGACTGAAGTGATCAGAAAAAGATTCGGCTGCTTTAGACACAAGTTGTGAATCTCACACAAAAATATTGGACTGAAAATTCCACTGTATCATTTAACAATTTGATTCACATTTTAAAAATGAACAATTCTGCACTGTTATAATTTTCTGGAATGTCTTCAGAAGTTAGAATGAATGCTAAAGATTCTGTGACTATTGGAAACTCATGAAATTTTATTAGGGATTAATTGTGATAATCCATGAAAACTGTTTAGCATAATCTTGGCACAAAGTAAAAGCTCCGTAGTTATTGGTGGCAACTCCAGAATTTCTATATAAGACAGCTTAGGGTCAGCAGTCTGATTTGAAGTAATGTAATAAGACTTGTTTTGAAGTTGTGATTGTCAAAGTGAGCATATTGCTTTTATTTAGGTTGTATTTTGTTGCTTTTGTTTTGAAATGCTTGGGAAGAGAGGCTGGTGGAAACATGTGGGGAAGTGGAAGAAATATTTGGGGAAATGGAAAAATTCTCCCCTAGAGGCCACACCAATGCCACCCATGATGATTAAAGACTTCAATTTAGGGAAGATAGGGTCAGGCTTTCATTCCTATTTATGAACAAGGGGGCATGGGCACTAATATCTAGAACACAGAGGTCTGAACTACCTCTACAATTTTTCCAAAACTCAAATCTTGCCCACATTTAACAGATTTTTCCTTTAAACGGAGTAATTTAGTTCTGCTGTGTTGAACACTATTTTTTCCTTTCTCTTGTACTGTTATATTCAAATTCAAAGCATGCATTTTAATCATACATTGGGGTTTCCACAGTAAACATCTAGGGTGCACACCCTAACTTTAGGCCAGCATGTCTATATGCAGCAATTCTGTTTCTATTTTAACATGTTTTATTCATTTTACTTCAGTGTTTTTTAATAGCATATTTTTCTTCTATTCTTTCGTAATGAGTTTTTAGTTTTTATCATTTTATTTTTCCCCTTAAGAACTTCAATCTTGCAGAACATTCTCTAGGCAATGATATATTAATCACTTGTGACTTTTATAATTAGCAAGAAATCAAGAAATGAAAAGTCAGAATAAAGCTATATTCATACTAACTTTTCAAAGGTGATAATTTCATCTTTTATTTCATTCCTTCTAGAACTTAAGATGTAATGTAGATAGGCCACATTTACTTGTTCAATCTGCATTTGTGTTTTAATTTAGACATCTCAAAACTTGGAGGATATAGTAAAAATGATAGTAGTAGGCTAGACAAGTCTAGAAATGTTTGCAGCCTAATTTATAACCCCTCTTTGGTAAAACGAAAACAAGTAATATGTAAACTAATGTTACTGAAGCAATATATAATTTTTGATATATACTTACTTATTTCACTTTCTTTGATCTGCATGCACAGTATGAAATCATAAAAGCAACAAACATCACCACACCAACACTGAGTAGGATAATTTCTACCAGACCAAGGAGGTTTATTTTTCCAGTCACTTGTTTTCTGAACTTTTCTGCCTTCTCATCACCAATGGTACCAGTCTGTAATCAGATGAATAATTAGCATTATTTGAGTAGATTAGGGCAGCAAAACACTTACAACCTTCCACTTACATATCACTCTTTTCTCCAAACACTTGCATAGGTATTAGTCATCTGTATCTTGAAGACAAGCCAATAGAATTCACTTTGCATGTCAAAGAAGGCAATAAATGCCAAGGAAGAATATTTAGTGAAATATAATCCCCCTCCCTTTGAACATGTTAAATAGCACTATTGAACATACTAAGTCCACAATTTTCTAACAGATGTTTCCTATTGACAGAGGGAAGTGGCAAGGGTCAACAGTTTCAATCCCTCTCAGGTTTTATGTACTGCATTTCCTAATTCTGGGGCTAATTAATTCCATGGTTTATACTACAAATATCAGGCAATAGGATAGACTGCCTACACCTACTCCAACCAGGTCTTTATAAGATTGGTTGACTTAGCAGCACTGTCATATTCCCCAAGTCATTTGGAGTTACATGTACCTATGACTCTTTCCTAAGACAAGCACTACAGCAAGAAAAAGTGTTTCAAAAGATGCATTTTGAAAATAATCAAAAATGATAGTGCTTTGACTTTCTAAAAGAAAAACACTGAAAATTAACACAAACTTGATATTTATGTGTGCTTGGGTTTTCTCAAATAGGTATAATATATATACTCACCTATATAGGCAATGAAAACATATACAACTTCAAATACTATACATACATTTTCAGTTTTGAGACACCAAAAGCTTTTTTTATATACATGGAAGTTTACTGCTTTTAATGACTGAGAGACTAAAAAAAATATATACTAACCTCATTAAGCCAAAGAATAGGCACAAAATAGTTTCGCTTCAGACCCTTTAATGCCCTGTAATATACATTAAAAGTAATTATGAAAATACATATTAATATATTAACATATACAACAGAAATTTCAGTAAGTACTAGTGTAAATATATGTTCAGAAGCAACTTGGTTAAGTTCCTTGACTTTTGTTCCCTGTAATCATTTAAATGTTAATGTGACTGTTTTTCAGACACCTTTCACTCTTACAAACCTTTCTAATACTGATTTCTAATTAGACTGACTTTTTCTAAGCACAGATTTTCCCTTTCCTCAAATTCTACCCAGGAAAGTAAAATAGGAATTCCAGAAACTGGTCATAGAAATATTTGGACAGCTAACAAAATGATACCACCAAATACTCAAAACATTCTCAAATATGTGTAATTATCATTTCAATAAACACTAGATATAATTCTGTTACAAATAAAAATTATAAGCATTTAATGATTAGTTAATGACCTTAAGCCAAAGAGAAGTTGAAATTTATTCTTTCCACTTACTGTAATAGACTAACTCACGTTCTTATAAGAAAATACTAAAAATCAGGTAACCATTAAACTTGTTCAAGAGACTCACTCAATTTTTTTTGCTGGCTTGACCAATATGTTGATTTGCAGCCGTTTTGCAAATCTTAAAGTGAATCCAGTTATCTAAAAAGAGAACAAACTAGTTACTAACTTTAAAAAAAAAATCCCAAAATTTTATTGTTATATAGAATTTAAGATGCAATTGTACTAATTGAAACTTGTGAAATTGACATATAACTATAATTACATGTGTACATGCAGGTATGCATATGTATGCATGTACTCGCGCACACAATCTCTTTGCCCAACCAAATATCAGGGTTTTAGTTAGATTTGTGATATCTACAGAAATTGGTTTTGGGTAATTAACAAAATACTGCAATGCTGAGCTCATGTAGATTCCTGAACTATGCATTGTCAAATGTATATTCACTCAGAATTGATGTATCATCAGTTTAATTATAATACTAGTTCTATCATTATTTAAACTGACACACAACCACTAAAATTTTGCTATTTCATTTAACTTTTGAAGAGGAAAATATTAAAATAATTTAAAACTTTAAACTGTTGAGTTATAGGAATTTTTGATTTTTCTTGACACGAAGTATAATAGATATTGCCCCAAAATCACATATATCCATAAAATCTTTTAATTCCTCATAATACGCAGTATCTCTTCAGGCAAGCGATATTTACACTTCAGAGAAAAAGAAAGAGAGGGTGTGAGTAGAGAGAGGGGCAGAGGGGGAAAATCTTCAAGCAGACTCCCCACTGAGCACCGAGGCAGGCTTGAACTCTGGACCCATGAAATTATAACCTGAGCTGAAACCAAGATTCCGAGGCTTAAAGGGCTGAGCCACCCGGGTGCCCCATAAATTGCTGTTTTATGCTTATTTTATACATATCATTTTAAGCCAATTAGACTCATTCCCATCATTGATATTCCTGACTTATGAACCATTGAAAAGGCCTATAAAGTTCCATAAGCTGAAAAACTAAAGTTTAATGACCTTGATATTTCATAAACAATAGAGAGAAATCAATGTAATTTTCACTGAAATAAAGATTGTGATTCAATAAATGTGATTAACAAAAAGGAGAGAATTTACTTTTTCTTTCAATTTAATGAAACAAATCAGATCAATAATATATTTGCTTACAGGTTCAACGTCTAAGTATGTGCTATGTTCGTCTTCATTTGGACTTAAGCCTTCAATAGGTTCTCCAATATCAGGACTTGCATGTAGAAAATGAGGAAGTGAAATGTACACAGGTTTTCCTGAAAACAAGTTTTAAGAAATAATTGGGGATAGATCATTTTCCTCATTTCACATACCACTCAGAAAATATTTTCTTGAAAATAAAACTCTTTAAATAAAAAAAAGGCATAGCTGGGCTTGAACACTGACTGGGGAAGAAATTATATGACCTGATCACTACTGTACAAAAATAAAATACAAATCTCTGCATCATCCTAGTCAGTTAATGTCTAGTGTCTATTGTTCTTCCTTAGGTGTTAATGTTCAATATGTAAAGTTGAGTTGCTGAGCACAAAATTTCAACCATTATGTTTATGTTTCAGCCAGTACTATATCTGTGAACTGAGAATTAAGAGGTTTCTTTTCCTCATTCACATTCATCCCAATATGAAGGAAGTGAGCTAAATAAGAGAGACTCCAAGTTGTATTTAAGTCAATTCTTGTTTCAAAGACACACTGAAAACATATTTTTATTAACCAATTTCTAGGGAAGAAAAATGAAGATGGGTAAGTTGAGATGCTCAAAGTAGTCTAGGAGTTATTTTTTCTCTTACCAGATCTCTGAAAGGAGCACAGGAATGGTTACAAAACAACATCCAATCAGTACTTAATATCAAAAATATACAATGAATTCATAGAGCTCAAAAAAATACAAAAACACCACATAACCCATTTAAAAAAATGGGCTGAGGACCTAAACAGATATTTTCCAAAGTAGCAGGGAAAATATCAGTATGGTTTTACCTAATAATAACTAAGTTTCACAACACTGGAACACAATTGGGACCTGAAAAACAAAGCAAAATCAAAACAATGCTTTTCTACCACCACACTTACTTCCTGGCCTTATTGCTTTCTTGTTTAGATTTTAAATTTTTGGTGGAAAGGAATCTTGGGTAAAGAATACTGCAAATTGTATCATGGACTGTGATACTGAGAACATTTACTCACCTTCTTTGCATTTGCCAATGTCTAGCACACCATATGATGTACAATTATTTGAGATAACTTTTTCTGTGCAGAAACAATGGTTATCTGGATTTTGAAGTGGAGATGCAAAGGCCATGGATGGAAGAACAAATCTATAGACAGGGATTCCTTTCAGATTAATTTCGGCTCCAAACACAGCATAGATGGACCTAAATACAGATAAGAAAGTGCTTTATTCCAGGAAACTGAACTACAGTCTGGAGATTTTTTTTTCTCTTATTTTTAGATTTATATTCTTGCCTTAACTTAGAAAAATTGGATTGGATACTCTTGTTAGAATTTTAAATTCTCATTTAATTCACAGGAAAAAAAATTCTTGTGAAATTTCAAGGCATGCCAGGACATAATACCTGAGTAGGAACTATTTTTACCTTTACTCTCAAAAGTTTCCAAGAGCAATTTTTGCTTGAGAACTACCATGGGAATTTATACCGAAGACATTTCTCATAGTTAATTTCCTTGATAGATCAAGTATTCATATGACTTCCCTCAAATCTTTTATTTGTACCCACTTTAAATGAAATACAATGAAAATTTCTTGCTTTCAGAACTTAATCCTGGAGCAAAAGGCCAAGTACTCACTGGGGCATGTGCATGTGAGTTCTTGATTGATATATATATATCCAATGATATATATATCCAATTTCTGGATATATATATCATTATTTACTGAGTGCCCGCATCATTTACTGAGTACTCACCAACACCTAGGCAATGTGCTGGGCTCAATACGTATTCTAATCCCCACACAACTCTAAGTAAAGAAACACTGCTCTCTTCAATTTTACAGGTAAGGAAAATATTGAGATATTTCAAAGGTTTGCCCATAATCTCATCTTCAGGAACAGGGCTAGGACTCAAGTGGACTGATGTGGGCTCTAATGCTTGTATGATATCTGCTGGGTGCCATCAATTTTAAGAGGCTGTAGTACAAGAGCTCATGAACATAGTTCTGTGTTAATGGCATCCTCTTCTCGGGACATCATTAGAAAGATGGGCACGCCCTTCTAGACATGACTGTTATTGAAAATAGTCTAGTGTAGTAAAAAAAAAAAATAAGGAAAAATAGGTCTTACTTAAAAATGAGAAAAAATAATTTGTATAATGTATCTGATCCTTCTGCAACCTTCAATTTTTATAAAAGTTATTAAGCACATCATGAATACCGTATCGTATTTATTCTGAATAAATCAAGAAAAATTTCCCTATGTGTACTTTTTTCCCCTCAGATAACATCATTATTAAGTATGAGCTTTAGGTCTGTGTTTTGTCACTTGGGGGAAAAAATTCTCACTCCCAGAACTACATTGTTGTCTTGGTCTTACCTGCAAATGTCAGAGGAAAAGAAACGCAATACTCGCGTCTTCTCAACAAAAGGTGGAAATGAGGCTGCATCTGTTTAAAAATCAAGCCAGTGACAAGGGATTAGATGTAACGTGTATCCTAGAAAAAATCTAGAAATCTCTATGCCAGTAGGATCAATAGAAATATAGGGCAAACTGTATATGTAATTTTTAAATTCTTTAGTAGCCACATTTTTTTAGAAAGTAAAAAGAAACGGGTGTATTTGATTTAACCCAATACATCTCAAATGCCATCATTTCAACATGTAATCGATATAAAAATTAACAAAATCCAATGTGTATTTTATATTTACAGCACATTTCAATTCATAATTCCATTAAGCACACTTTTCTTAATTTCTTTCCATAGTATCAGCATGTGCCTAACAGTTATCCTATTCAATAAGTCCGTATACTATATATATACTCATTGGTATTTAATTTCATGTTAAATCTTCCCACTCCTTAAAAATAAATGGAAGTTACAAAAATAATGGCAAAATCACATGTTAAAATTGTGATAATATTTGTTTTTGAAATCCCCCACCCCATCAGTAGGTGATACTTTTCTTACTATGAAGTTTCTTACTATGAAGTTCCCTTAGGACTTCTGTTAGATTTATGTTTTTTTTTTTTTTAATTTTTTATTGTGTTAATCACCATACATTACATCATTAGTTTTTTGATGTAATGTTCCGTGATTCATTGTTTGCCTATAACACCCACTGCTCCATGCAGAACGTGCCCTCTTTAATACCCATCACCAGGCTAACCCATCCCCCCACCGCCCTCCCCTCTAGAACCCTCAGTTTGTTTCTCAGAGTCCATAGTCTCTCATGGTTCCTCTCCCCCTCCGATTGTTCTTATTTTAGAGACTGATTCATTTGTCTGTCCTAATGACTGATTAATATTTTAAAAATCACTTATTAAAATTCTCTCACTAACCAGACTTTCCTCCAAATGCTTGGAAAACATATCCATCACACACTGGATATATGAAGAAATAACTAAATAACTCCTGCATTTCCTTTCCAGTTAGTATCACTAAAATGAGCCATACCATTGAATGTGTTTGTTGAAAACAGAAAGACCCATCCTTTAATTATGCATTCTGGGTTCTTTTTCTGGTTAAATGTCTCAACCTTGTGATCTTGTTACATTTCACTTATACTCTTGTGATGAGTGAAATATAATAGAAGATCACAGTGAACTTGATTCTGGCATTGAGAGTACTAGATCTTCAAGGTTGGCTTGAACTCCCCAGATAGGTCACTCAATGGACCTTGTCTACAGCTGCCTTCCCAACACCATAACCATTAAAGGAAAAGAATACATTTAAAAGCTTTAAGACTCATTATCTGATATATCATTGAAGAATATGCCATAATTATTCCCAATTACCAGGGAAATAACTTACAAGATTGCTGACTTTTTTTTTTTAAAGTTCAAATGTGTATCAGTATTTTCATTTTATGTCTCTTCTTACCGTAGAAGGTATAGGTTTTAAATCATGACCTTTTCTGTTTTGTTGGTCATTTTTCCCCAGTGCCATAAACCAAGAATCCCTCACAGAGATCACATCAGAGTCCCCTGCCCTGTCCAAACCACCTCTAAGTCTACTTTGTTTTCCTATTTTCTTCTTAGATACCTTTAAATTTATGCCTGATGCTCATGTATTTATCATTTTGTGATTAATGAATCCTTTACCTCTCCTTTTAAAACTTACCTTTGGACAGAATTTTTAAATTTTTTTTCCTTAAATCCATAAAGAATCCTTTACTATTTAGGAGCAGTACAATATATTTCTCTGTATCTAAGGTCTGAAATATTACGCTTATGTAATTACGGGAGTGAGTAGCATTAGGACACTTGGCAATTTATTTGCAGAAATGCTTTACTTAGGGCTTGAAATTTGGTACAAAGCAAACTCAACAAGGTTTTTGCTGTTCTTTTTCTATAAGACAGTGGTAACAAAATTAAATAGATGTATGAAACTCAACAATACCTTTGTAAAAGTAAATATTCCCTGTTTCCTTTTTATTCCGTACCCTTTACATAACTTTGTATTTAACTGTCTTCCTCTTTAGTATATTGTTTTCCCACAGGGTACCACCTCACCAACTTCGGAAACCTCATGCTTGTTCTCTGCTTCTGCATTGCTGGGAGTTCTCATCTCAGGTTTTAATTACCTCATGGTATTCGAATCCCGTTTGCTTTTTAAAACCTTAATTCTTAAACTAATAGGTCTACCAGTGCTTTGCTTTTGCTTTTCTTCAAGGAGAGTGAGCAGCCAGATCTAAGCCTGCTGCAAAATCTCAGTTCATACTACTTTTTTTCCCCCCACTTCTAATTCAGAATGGTCATTTTTGCACCCGTTTTTCATGGTTAGTAGACCTCTAACCTTAAGTTTTTGTTCTTTTTTCTTTCACTCTGACCACCTTATTCAAAAGAGACAGCTCTGTCTTGCAACTTCATGGATTCTACCTCAGCTTGAAATCCCACTTGGAAGTATGTTTTACGTTTTGTAATTACCTTCATTTTTTAAAAAACTTTATTATGTTATGTTAGTCACCATACATTACATCATTAGTTTTGATGTAGTGTTCCATGATTCGTTGTTTGTGCATAACACCCAGTGCTCCATGAAGTACGTGCCCTTTTTAATACCCATCACCAGGCTAACCCATCCCCCCACCGCCCTCCCCTCTAGAACCCTCAGTCTGTTTCTCAGAGTCCATAGTCTCTCATGGTTCGTCTCCCCCTCCGATTCCCCCCCTTCATTCTTCCCCTCCTGCTATCTTTTTTTTTTTTAACATATAATGTATTAGTTTCAAATTCTGTCAATTTTAAATTATCTGTATATTATTTATAAAACATGTGAATAGTAACTACTTCTCTAGGTTTTTATTTCTTTTTTAACCCTTTACTTCTGTTGCCATGAAGGTAGTTCATGAAGTCGAGCTTTTAGATAACAAATGTTTCCCTAGTCATGCAGGAAAGGCTAATTCTCAAGCATAATCTTCAGAAATCCCATCACATTAGACAAACATTTGCTAAGCCTATGGAACAATAGAGATCCTGAATTTTGTTGCAGGGCTACACAGATAGGTAAGTGCCTACCCTTAACTTTCAGAACACTGTAGGTACAGTGGTGGAATTTGTGCGAGAGAGGGAGGAGGGTTCATTGTGATTATTACCATGAAACAAATGCCCTTACCTGTACCATTAATCATGTCACAATAACTTGGCCAATAGGTGAGATTCCTGAGGAATAAAAAGAAAGGAAATGAACAAACATTCTCTTTTCTAGAGCACCTTTCTCACGTTACTAATAAAGATTAGATGTGTGATAAATGCTAAGTTGAAGAAATGTTCTAAATCATTGAGCCCATGTTTTGTTTGAAGGTTCCATCTTTTTTTTTTTTAAGATTTTATTTATTTATTTGAGAGAGAGAGAATGAGAGAGAGCACATGAGAGTGGGGAGGGTCAGAGGGAGAAGCAGACTCCCCACCGAGCAGGGAGCCTGATGCGGGACTCGATCCAGGGACTCCAGGATCATGACCTGAGCCGAAGGCAGTCGTTTAACCAACTGAGCCACCCAGGCGCCCTGAAGGTTCCATCTTATTGAGATCAATTAAGGGCCCAATACCATTAAGTGGCCAGATTATATAATAAAAATTGCTGAATGTTAATTCAAAACAACAGAATAGAGCACATTTCTGAAGAAAGAAAATGAAGAAACTCATCAGAAATTTAGATCTCTACCTAGGGGAGAATTTTTTTTTTTTCCCCATTGGGAGAAATGGACCACTTGGTAGTATGTTGAGTGTTCAAAATAAATAAAAAAATAAGTGGTTAACTGATGTAAGCTCAGTCTGAGGGAGAAGAAAAGAAAAGCCAGATGTTGAAGAGGAGAAAAAAGCAGATATTGCAGAGAAGAGACTGGAAACATGCAGATCATCAATTTATACTTTTCTCCCTTTTAATGCTTGCAGAAACTGGCATTCAAGTAGGACAGAGTTGATTAATTTCTACTCTGGTATCTAAGATACATGTATATATATCTGGAAGCAATACAAACAGTAGTAATGGTTTCTCTGTATCCTCAGCCACTTTTTGGAGATGGAAAACCTGTCTTTTTCCCACTGTTAACATATCATCCAGTGACATGTCAAGGCAAACTGTTGCTTCTTTTTTTCAACAGAATAAGCTTGGCAATCATGCTCAGTCTTGCCCTCATCAGTTAAATGGATCTTGTCATAATCTCAAAATGATGTGGAATTCTCACTCTGATTAGAAACACTTAGCATCTCTCCTCAAAATGTCTCTGTAATATTGAAATGGCAGATATGCTCATGTTCTTCAATGTACAGTGATGCTGTTTCCCCTGAAATAAGCATTAAGACGAGTTTGTTTTCTTCCGCTAGACTTTTCTATAGAAAGATGTAGAGTCTGTGGAATCTGTAGAAGAAGTACCACCTTAGTGAATGTGTAAGGGCTATATGCAGTTTTTAAATAGGGACTCAGTGTGAGGCAGTGGTTACTTATATTAATAAAAACATTTCATCTCTTTCAATTTTGACTATTGTATTATTTACCAGGAAATAACTGATCTAAAGCACATTATTAACTTCGATTAGAAAAGGACTATCTTCTCTGACACTTATTAGGATTCTTCCTATTTTTTACACATAGGATTATTATGTATACTCCAGATGAATAGTCAGGAGGTAGGGAAAAAAAGCAAATCATGACTATATGAACCTATCTCATTCTATTACTACTTCAAAGGAGGCACAGTCTTTATTTTCAAGTTTAATATGCCCATTTTAGAACCGTACGTGAAGTACTAATTCCATTTTTGCACTGATAAAGGTTTAAAAATGCTGATTTATCAATATAGAAAATTATTTCAAAACATTTGCATGGATTCATTAAGTTTTCATCTTTATAGACACATGACGTCATGCCGTGAAATGAACAATTTTTATTTGATAGGCTTCATAACAAACGTACAACACACCCAGCAAGTTATGTTTTCTAGCTGCTAGTTGATCGGCTGATGTATCGATTTTGTTCCTTTCCTTTGTGGTCACGTAACTGTAGGAACGTCCTGCAGTGCTGGCCATGCAGCAGAGATGGAAATAGTCCCTTCGGATTTCTTTATGTAAGAGAACCTGTGCATGAAGGTAAACCAAATTCTCAAGTGGGGCTGATATTCAGCAGCTCCGCACTAGGTGGGACCAGCTGTCACAACTAAAGTGTTAACACCTGGCAGAACAAGACTGTCCAGGGCTGAGATACAGGCAGATCTGGACCACGGTTGGCGCCTGGGCCTTACCAGTTGTTAAACCAACACCGGGCCTGCCTCAGAGTGCACACACTTTATCTGGACACTCACCTTTTACCTTTGTAAGTGTCAATTATGGCAACTTGGCTTATGTTGTCTTTCCCACTGAAAACCGTATAAACTCCATCTGCAGTGTTGTTGTACTGAAAAGATAGGTACAAGAAGAAATTACTTCTAGGACAAGCCATATTTTCCAAGTTATAAAATATGTAACTCGCGTTTGTGTTTTTCAGATCCTGGTGGTTCATAATTATATGGTTGGAAATATATATGCAATGAAATTTTAAAAGTATTGGTCTTGAACATTTTAAAAAGACAGACTATAAAAAGCACTTAGAAATAAGTGCCAAAGGTTGAGACAAAGGAAGAAAAGCCAGTATCAGAAGTTGACATGATCCAAACTCTAGTGCTCTTTGTCCTAGCTAAGCCAGTAGGCAGTTTTGATCACTACTCCTATTATATTGAGGTGAGGGGATATTAAAAAATACTTCTATAAATAGGAGAACAAGGACAGACTTCCAGAGGTATTCCAAATGTTATGGTTTTTTTTTTCTTTCTAAATGTTATGATCTTTAATAAGTAGATACTAAAAATTAGACCTACAAAATTAAAAACAGAATTAGCCAAGGAAGGAGTTACGAGTTTTTGAGTTAAAAAAAAATAGTAACTGAATCTCTGATCCTTTACGGCTTTCTGCATTCATATTTATTGACCTATAGCCTTGCAATCCTAAACACTATCTAAAACTAAAATAACAATGAATTGGAGAATCTAACTAATATCACAGAGAGTGCCAAAGAAGTCACAGTCAAAATTCCAATTCAACAGTTAGCTTGTCCTATTTATAATTCAAAACCTTAAGCTATAGCTAAGTGCATTGCCGAGTTCGCCTTTTCTGTAATCTGCAAACTGCTATTTCATGACAAACTGCATTAAAATAGGATGTTGCTGATTTATCCGTCTCAATGTGTGCAAATTTAGGCTTTTAAATTTATATTAACAAATTTGCAAGAGGTCTGGAGAAGGAGGAATGATAAGTGAATCCATTTAACACAAATAAAAATATGGCATTAAACTTGATTTTTTGAGAAGGGAAATCAAACTACAAATAGAATTCAAAGCCTTATTGGCTTACGACTTATTGTAGACAATTTTGTATTTCTCAAAGAATGGAAACCTAAGTAAATCTCAGCTTCATTTTAAATTTAATTGTTAAATTTAGATGAATAAAGTTTTCCAACCAGAAAGCTGAAGCCATGTGAGAGATTTTAAAAAATTAGGATATTTATTTCCAGATCAGAAATCATATAAACACACTAAATTACAAAATTATAAATTGCCAATGCCATATTTATCCAATTAAAGTATAAAAAAAGTCAACATTCATATTTGAATACTCACAGGATAAAACACACCAACTGTCGTAGTAATAGGATATGGAACCAAACTCAAGAACGGATCCTTATAGCCCCACAAGAGCTCTCTCACAGTTCTTTTTTGAAACATAGAAGATTTTGACTTTTTGATAAGTGAATTGAGTACCACTTGAACAAATGCATTTGGATAGAGATGGGGTGCAGCCTACAAAAAAAAGCCACTGTTATTTTAGTACCTATTTAGTATCTAACAAATAGATGGATTAAATACTAGAATTAAGTTCAATGGGAAAAAAAACCTAATTGTATCTTTAAAATTATTACCCAATCTTGCCAGGACAAAAAATGTAATTTGTCTAATCCCTAGATGATTACATTTCCCTGCCTCAGTGCCGGTCACAAGGAGACATTTAAAGTTAGACCCTATTTTTTTTTTAATGATATACTTTTTTTTTTTTTTTTGAGATTCAGTTTTTGTTGTTGTTGTTTTATTATGTTATGTTAATCACCATACATTACATCATTAGTTTTTGATGTAGTGTTCCATGATTCATTGTTTGC